CACACACACACACACACACACACACACACACACACACACACACACACACACACACACACACACACACACACACACATATATATATTTGGATAAGTCTTGTTCTTATGTACATCGTCTTTGTCATGTTGAATTGATAATGTTAATTATATTTTATGAATATGTCCTGAAGATGGTTTATTAGACCGAAACGTCCGACGTTGACATATTAACATTAAAACAGCATAATTGCATATAAGGATTTTTGTTTGTTTTTTTCCGTATATTTTTTCTTCATATATATATATATATATATATATATATATATATATATATATATATATATATATATGGAGAGAGAGAGAAAAGATTAACACTTATAATAAACATATATGAATTAAACAGAAAGCAACACTGTTACTGGGAAAGTTCTTTTGCTTATGAGGCTTCCGTTTTTCTTTTTTTTTGTCAGCAACTGGAGAATATTACATTTTTCTTTTCCCTCAAACATCAAAGATTGTTAGCAAATTAAATCACTGTTAGCTTTTTTTAAGGAATCCTTCCCTGTGCTTTTATCATTCTTAGTTCGCTTCTTGCTCTTTGACTGGATGTTGTAGCGCAACAGCAGACTAATAAAATTTTCCATTTGAGGTCTTGACAAGTCGTTAACTAAGTTAAACTGCCTGTGGCAGTTAAAAGATATTTGATGACAACATTTCTTGTCAGCATTGGATGGAAATGATCAAGAAGTTATTGTCGAGTTTACCCATCCGAACTCTGCCTAACGAACCAAGGAGAGTATTCAGCAGTATTATCTGCCCACGTAAATATTCAAAGATCAGCTTAGCTTGACCTATTCCCACTATAGAAGATACGATTGATTTTTATTGAGCATTGATCACTCATCACAGTCAATATAAAGAGCTGGCACATAAAAAATATTTAAAACTTCATAATCAAAATATAGCATTCTTTTAGCGCATGTGTTTGTATTTTCTAGCAAAGCGTAACGTCAGAATGAGGTCCTAAAATGTTTTAATCATTAATTTAGCAATCTTACCTCAGTTAAGTAGAGTATACAACCGAAATACCTCCCACATATTAAACGTTAACAAAAAGACCAACATCACTGATATTAAAAGAATTATTTCACTGTTGTTTAAAAAAAGGACGACATTTTTTTTCTTTTGACTTGATTTTAAAAATGACATGCTGAAAATGGTGGACGTCATCCACTATTGTAGACGATTTGTAAAGTTTTCCATCACTCGGAAGTTTGAGGTTTTCCAGGTAGCTTTCTTTTAAGCGCTGAATCTGTAGCCCTGAAATTTACAACCAATAGCAATATCGATTTTCTCCCCGGAACAGTATCATTCCAACGTAATATAAAGTGAGCACGAAAAGCTCTCTGTGTCGCAATTACAAATTAACCAGCCTTACAGATATGTTTCAACAACAAAGATACAGAGTGCACTGGTCCAAAACAGGATGGTAAATGATGGTATCTGAGAAAAAAGATAAGACATTACTTATAGTTAGACACCATTGCCACTGGCCTAAATTCACTAGCTCCATACAGGGGATAGTTAAAAATTTACCGGGGAGGCAGCTTTTACGAGTGGGTGCTGGAACATGTTTGAGAGACAGGGCAACAAGAATAAACGTTAGCAAAAGAGTCAGCCGAAGATGCGAGCCACAAACTGATGTCAGAACCAAAAAATACAGAAATTTAATTATCTGGGAAGTGTTAAAACCGACGATGGGAAAGCTGAAACCAAAATTTGAAGACGAATTGGAATAGCGAAATTAGCAAATTATTAAAAAAAAGAAAAACAGGAAAAGCTAGTTAACAACAAACAAAAACTGCTATGTAATATAAATCGGACGTGTGGAAGAACTCCAAGCTTGCTGTCAAGTCAAAGATGGCAGTCTACATTGCTTGTGTCATAAGCACTCTTCGCTACGAGATCCAGACGCGGACGATATATGTCAAGCAGGAGAAGGCACTGAAAACTTTTTACTTGAAGTGTATCTGCCGCAACCTGGGCATATCGTCGAAAGTTAAAGTGCCCAACACTGAAGTACTTTTTCACGCCGCTTAGACAGCGCAGGTTCTGATGGCTGGGTCATGTTCGTTGTATGGAGGATGGCTGTATTCCCAAGGACATCCTCTACAGGGAACTTGCAAATAGCAAAAGATACACCGTTCGCCCTGTTGCGCTACAGAGATTTCTATAAGAGTTACACGAAGGCCCTTGAGATCAACCGTGACCATTGGGAGGACCTTGCTGCTGACGGTTCTGAGTGGAGAAGTAGCCTGACTAATGACAGGAGAGGAGAATCTGAACAACGCAGTAGAAGGCAAGCGGACGCGCATAAACAAACGTTGTAGAATAGAAAACACACAGACAATTCACAGGTGTCACTTGTGCAACCGGGACTACCAATCGAGCATCGGCCTGTTCAGCTACAGGCGCCGATGTTCCAGAGGACCAGATGGGTAGGATCAAATCAGTGGTCATTGATGACCGGCGGAGGGCTTCATTTTGGGATAGGACAATATGTGCCGGACAATTCTTTTCACAGATGAGGCAAGAGAGATCTGGTTCCACAGATGGATTCTGAGAACACAAATTACGGAAAATTGTGCAACTAAGAAATTTTAGGGAAAATGGAAACAAAAAATGTTCATATATACTTAGAATCAGAGAGACAGAGAAAGAGAGAGAGAGAGAGAGAGAGAGAGAGAGAGAGAGCGAGCTGATATTTATGAATCACTTGATAAAGAAAAGGACCTTCAAAATTTGACATTTTATGTTTATTTTTCTCATATTCTACCATACTTTAGAACCTCTTGCGTCTTAGTGGCTTCATTGTCATGCTTGGGGTGAAATGATTATAGAAACAAAAAACGAAACTTGTCAACATTTTCTCTGTTACTTTGTATTCCATTTAACCAATCGTAAGTTAATGCTTTATTTTTGCCATCAAAATTTCTTCTTTGATATCGAAATCTATATGAGTCACAAACTGTGACTTCCTATTATATTTGTCGAATATGTACTCATGTGCTGGGGTCATACATTTTGGGAAGAAATTTAGAAATATTTCAAACCTTGGAAATAAAATATTGGGCTATCTTATCGCCCACAATCGAGATTTGAATTGTTATTTTAGATTTGATTTTAATAGTTATTATGAAATAAAAAAGATATTGCGATATTATATGATGGAGAAGAAAAAAGAAAAAAAGATTTTACATAAAGAAAGAAGATGAAGGCAAATGCTCAAGATGACAAGTTAAGAATCTTTCCCGGAAAGCAAATTGAAACGTGAACGGTTTGAAAAAATATACAAAGGAAAAGATGGCGCCATTAACGATCGTGTTAAAATTTGTCAATATTAACGAATGATTTGTTTGTGTTTTTGATTACTATTTTAAATGGTTTCTCGAGTTTTAGAATTAAAATCATTTTGAGAAATTTATCTTCCAAATGAGTAGAAAATGTGAAGAAATACTCCGGTGAAATATTGCTTTTAGCGTGTTTCGAAAAGGAGAAAAACGAAGCAACAAGAAGTGTAAAGATAAAAAAAACCCCAGAAACATCAGATAAAGAGAGACAAAAGGTATAGGCAGAGATACAAGGCCAACAAGAGGAATTTGATGAAAATATCATATGAAGAAACAGAGATAATTAGAAGGAATAAGATTTAAAATCAAGAAAAATAATGACGATGAATTCAGTTCGATAATAACGATGATTTTAATTTAGATAATGATAAGTTACGTTTAGAAATGATACTTTACATTCTTGTATAAAGAAAGACCAAATCTATCTTTTCTTCTAATAAAGCTCTGTCATTTCACAATTTTAAGCTTTTAAATTTCGCAAATTGGAATCTTATGATAGATTTTATTCTGTAAGTTAATGTTTTTACAATAACATTGATATTAACCAATATTACGTTTGTAAATTGTTTATTTATTTGGTTTGTTTAGTTTTACGGCATGTCAATCCTCAATGGGTCATTTAATGCCGACAACTTTCTTTTTCCTGGTAATATTTTTGTTTTGTCAAAAATCTATTTTTGTTAATATGTTTTCATCAAAAATGTATAGCTGGTAATATTATTTTTTCAAAAACGTATAGCTGGTAATATTATTTTTTGGTAATAATTTTTTACAAAGTATTTCTGGTATTAAAACCTATATTTACATTTTTATAATGCTTTTTACCTCGGTTTCAGGGTTAACTATTTGCCCATAGCTGGGACCCTAACAGGTGCTACCACTCCGGGTCAGGGTGGACCTGGGAACACCAGCAATTAAGAGGTGGTTCCAAGCTCATCAAAACCACCCGTTCAGAGACCTTGCTGTTGGACGTAGTTTATCCTCTTACCCAGGACGCGGATGTAGTTTATCGTCTTACCCTGGATGCGGATGTAGTTTATTGTCTTACCCAGGACGCGGATGTAGTTTATCGTCATACCCAGGACGCTGCAAAGTGTTTAGAGTAAACAAATATTTATATAGATATAAATCTAACATATGAATTTAATATATATTTTATATCCATCTTAAAAATATTGACAATAAATTACTTTAATGACTATCTATATGGGAAAAGCAAATCTTGTGACTAAAGGGAAAAAAAACAAAAAATAATTTTAGTACCAACTACACTCTGTACGTAGACAGCGTTTAGAACTTTTAAAAAACATTTTCAATGATTGTCCATGGTCCAAAACCAATGCAATAATCCTGAAGATTGACTTCCATTTTTTACAGATTCTCAACCTTTTGAGGGTTATTTAAAGCCAGAATATATTTTTAGATTATAATAATCTTTTGAAAATAATAATGACCTAATGATAGAAATCCTACTAATTAACACATAGTTGGGGCGACAAGTGGTGGATTCCGAATGGTATTTGCGCGTAAAGAAGTATAACTAACCCGACTGGAACTGGAATCACCGATTTCCAATTCTGTTATACCACCCGCCCACCCAAGCTTATATAAGCTGGTATTCCCGAGCAGTCACCCATCTAGGTACTGACCAGGCTCGGCGTTGTTTAACTTCGGTGATCGTATGAGAATCGGTATTCCAACGTGATATGACCGTACGCAACATTAAGAAGAGAATATGGCTATGACAGATATAGTTGTTATTGAAACTCCACGGTTAATGACACTACTTCTTTTATGTGTCTTGTCTCTTCGGGGTGTGGACGATCATGGCTTGCCTACAACGTCGTGTTTGTTTCATGTATTTCTAAGCAACATTTGTCTTTTTATTATACCTCTTTGTCGTTAATCTAAGCTCCATTCACGTAAAATCATCGGGCCAGTTGCTCGTTATTTTCTTCTGTTCCGTCTTCATTCAATCAATTAAATATTCCAAGCAATCTTTCTTCATGGTGTGTCCCTGATTATAGATTGGTGCATTGCTTTGCGCCTTACTCACCTTTGAGTTTATCGTTCCATTTTCTGTTATCCTTTGTATCATGTTTCATCTTTGTTACCCGTATTTTTTTTCTTATCTGAATGCTATACAGGCTTAGATAACTGTCCTATTCTAATGAATTCATAAATGCTTTCTATTTCATTCGATCTAGTAACTTGTGTTCATGAAAAAAAATAACATTCATGTATTGGCATTTTTATGACTTTCCACCTCTACTGGAATTTCAAAATTCCATTCATTGTTTCTTGATATAAAACCAGAGAGACTCGTACACGATGACTTTCTTTGTTGCAAACCTTTTATCCTCTCACTATAAGCATATATACCTTTTCACTTCTTTATTATCAGTATCTGCGTATATATATAATTGGGATAAATAAAATATTAACTAAGGTATGTTAAAGAGACATCTTTCTTTTTATGTGTCCTGTTCCTTCAGGACGTAGGTGATCATGGCTCTCCTCTCGTCCCTCTGCCACACCCGCTAGACAACGTTCTGTCATCCACTTGCTTAAGCCCGCCAGATATGTCCTGCGTTGCTTTCCCTAGTCTCTCTCACGACCTGTGAGTAGCAGATAGTCCAGGCCCTCCTTCCTCATTACGTGTCCCAGAAATTTTATCTGCCTCTTCCTGATGTCAAGTATAAGCCTCCTCCTTGTTTGCATCCTTTCCAAAATCTCATCGTTGCTCACACGCTGGGTCCATGATATCCTTAGCATCCTTCTGTAGAGCCATACTCTCTTCTTCATCTTTGAGGAGACCGTCCAACATTCGCTGCTGTAAAGGATGACATATGTCACGTAACAGCTCAATAATATTTTCTTTGTTACAAAAGAAATCTCCGTCTCGCAGTACTCTGCCCAGCATTTGGAATCCATCCATCCTTGGACATTAAATCTGAGCTGTATAATATATATATATATATATATATATATATATATATATATATATATATATGATCTTTCTACTTCATATCGATTGCGAATGTAAGATGTCGTATATATATATATATATATATATATATATATATATATATATATATATATATATATATATATGACCGAGGGCCTGAGCCTGCTGGCCTTGTTCAGATTGTTGATCACGCGAGATAACACGCTTTCTCCCAGAAACTTTAACTAAAATCTGCTTAGCATACTTAGACTATAAACCACAGGTTAACTCTATGGGTGTTGAACAAAAGAAAATGTCTCTAAGGAAGAGTCTGCAATAGGGAGAGGCTAGCCACCCTAATAGATGGTTATGCTCAGAATACGAGTGGCCATATATATATATATATATATATATATATATATATATATATATATATATATATATATATATATAATGAAAACAGACCACTTTAAGGTACCATTGCAATAGTTTATTTCACCAAAATCCTTTTAAATGATTCCGGATCATCAGGTAACAATTCAACAACGAAATGAAAGGAAAAAATGGGATTAGAAATTGATGGGTAGTGTAATTTTTGTAATTTAACAGGAGGTGATAGTTGTAGTTAAAGAGACAAGGTAGAGTATAGGGAGGGTTAATTTCATCCTCCTTGTAATTACCCATTCGGTTTACCAAGTTCTTCGTATCTTAACTATATATATATATATATATATATATATATATATATATATATTATTAGAAATCTTATAAGTATAAAAACTATACTCGCTCAGAAAACCTTCGGTGTCTTGATTTGCAAATAAACAAGCCAATACCAAAATGGAAAAAAAAAGTATAATAAAAGAAAAGAACCAAGGACATATACGTTAACCGAAAATAATCGTCCAGAATATACAAGTTCAAGGCCCAAAGAAAAAAAAAACTGATGAGTGCCCAAAACAACTAAATAAAGTGCTCAATACAATGACGATCCGCTTAGCTGAAACCTTGATAGGTCTGTCTGTCTGTCTGTCTCTCTCTCTATATATATATATATATATACATATATATATATATATATATATATATATATATATATATATATATATATATATATGACCTCTTACATTCTCAACCGACATGAAGTGGAGAGATTATGTTGAATCCATTGAACTCTTCGCTATGGTACCAATATTTAAGAAATTTAAGCACAATACTAGATGGCGACAACGTCTCATGAATTCACAGTTGAATTGGCTAGATGTAGCCGTAAGTTCTATGCTAACAGTTTCTTTACTCGCATTTGTCCTCAAGGCTCCAATCTTGGTTCTTCTTTCTTCACAATTTTTAAGCTACTTCAATGCATTCACTTATAATAATTTATATACTGATAAGCATTTTCTGCTGTATGTTGTCGGTGGCTAAAATCTTTTCGAAGGAACTCCGCATAAGAATTCGATCCAATCATTCCAGGGAATCATGAAAGCAGAAACCTGTAGCAGAAGCCTTGTGAATAAGAACATAAAATATTTGGTTTCTTTGAAATACACATACGAGATCGTCGTATCTGGGCAACAAAACTAAAACCCGTTCCCGTTGTAAGACAGGAAAGAAAATCTATTAAAATAGTGTACGTGATCTTTCTATCGGATCATGACATGAAATTGCGAGAGCGGACGAATACAGATAAAAATGCCTGAAAGTTGAATGTATTTTTCGCTATGAAAGTGTCAAGAATTACATATCGACTGATATGTAATCATATATGGCGACTGACCTCCCTTACCGGATGTCAAAACTTGTGTACTATATACGCACGCGTGCATTGGTTGTCAGCTGAGCTCACATGTCAAACCTGGACTGAATTATGCTGTTGCATTGTCATATCTGTGTACAGTTTTGAACCAAATAAAAGACTTAAACATGCACATATGTGTGTATGCGTGTTAATAGGCCGTAGTAGAGTATCGAAATAAAAGTGAAGAGAATTAGACGAAGTGGAAATCTTCTACTGTTACCTCTTTTCGCCTACGTGCACTTTGTAGGTGTCTTCAGCTCTAAAACTGTGTCTAAGGATAATCCATTAATTTACCCTATCAGATCCGGCAGCCAGAAAAATCTTCTTTTTTTTTCACATTGAAACCGTTAACTAAAATTTTAAATAAGTCCATTCAGGTTACGTCTATGTTTTTTTTCTCTATTAAATCCTTTACCGCATTGTGCAACTATTGTTTTTTCGATGATCGGTGATATTATATACGAGACTGGTCAGAAGTTTATCGCCGATAATTGTGAGATCAGCCCACTTTCAATGCAATCTATTCTTAGTAAATCTTTCCCCCTCCTGATCAGACTAGTATTTATTGTCCAATTTGTGGTCATATGTGAAATGAATAAAAGATATTTTTAATCATTCATATCAATTTCTTCGAGATTAAGCCACATGTTTTCTTACAAATCTACTGTCAGAATGATTTGTTCAGGTTCTTGCATTGATGAGCGCATTATAGTTGCTTTCAAAAAAACTTACCTTTTGTCTAAACAATTATTGTAACCCTTTCTCTGACTTGACAAAATGAAACTTTTATGATTGTATTTCTGTGTTTAGCCGCCTCAGCAATTAAACAGATAAAACCAGCGAGTTCCTGATACATCCATGCTGCTATACGTGTACCTGGGGTGCTTCAGCACTCGGATATTTTGTTTAACAGAAAACTAAATTCTTCCTATTATCTTCGATCTATGACAATGCTGTTGAGTTCTGATCTACAATTTATCTAAAATCATTATGGTCATTAATTATCAAAATAAATAAAAATTAATTTTTGTTTGTACGAAAAAATTAGCTTCTAAAATATGCCGAAAACTAAATGTATATCTCAATTCCGAAAATAAGTACAAACGGAAAGAAGAAAAGAAAAACATGAATTTAAAAGGACTACGCTACAGATAACCATTTATTGCACTATTTACCTATAGGTATAGTAAATATCTACTTTAAAATTAAACCACATATTAACTTCTTTACGATAGTAAATACGAGCAAAATGTCCAGCATTAATCACCAGTGCTATATATTGAAAAAAGATGATAACAGTTTTCAAGCCTCCACAAAAGCACATTAACACTTAGTGAAATAGACTTTGTTCACAATGAAAGAACCTCAGTAGCTTTCAACATTCTTCTTGTGGTATCGACTGTCACACTTGATAGCAGCCCTTCGGCTCATTCTTCATATGATGAGCACAGACACAACTACTCTGTCCACTTCAATATGTTTAAAGCATGAGTTTACAGATGAGCTCGCCTGAACTGTGAAATGAAGTATTTCAGGATTTTCATAATAATCATAAGTCTATTTGGTTGCCTATTTCCAATACTGCCAGATGTCAGTGTTCGAGCGAGAGTGAAAGCCAAGGTTTCAAATGTTGATTTTCAAGATAAGCAGGCTCTACCGACATGAAAGATTGATTCTGGTGTCATTCCCTTTAATTAGTATTCTACTGCAAATAAATAATAAAAAATATTGCTGAGGAAATGCTCTTTTAGTGAGTACGAAAACAAGGTTTTTGGTGGACTTAGACGTGATTCAGGCATTGATTTGGTGATGAGGCTTACGTATTCCAGCGACCTCCAAAAGTTACACCATTACTCCTGGATGGTCTATCCAATCTGGGTAGGTCGAAATGTAGAGATCAGATCAAATATGGATTGCAAAAATGTTATGGGATAGAGCATGGGGGTTGTGTTGATTTGACACTGAAACAA